TTGCCTGTGAATAAAAAATAAACCATAGTGTTGGTGATCTACAGTGTTGTCATTCTTCTTTGAACAGCAAGACCGCTAACACCCTATTTCAACAATCACACTCCCTGTCATTGACATAATTAATAGATAGTTTAGCTTCTCATGATCATTTGCTGTGGCCCAATGATGTTAACGATCTTAACTGAAAGGCTGCCTGCCAAACGTAAACATTCAGCCGCGAGAGTTTAGACGGATCCTTTCTAGCCATAACCGGGTTTGTGTTGTGTATCGCGATGATGCTCGAAATGTCCCTTATAGGCCTACGTCTGTTTCCGGTGACTTTATTTTGAAATTCAGTTCCATGAGAAACGGCTAAAAAGCCAGAGATTATAGAATTAAACTAATAAATAAAAACAAGGATAATTATGTGTTATTGTTGAGTAAATAACTGTGTGTTATTCAGAAAAGAATAACAAATTAGAAGAAAACAAATATTTAAAAAAAATCCAGATTTCATTATTCTGAGGCTCCGAGCCCCATTTCTTTTACTCACAGACGGCAAAAAAAGTCCAACATTATACAATTTAAAATAAAAACAATAATTGTGCCTTGATATTGAGTAAGAACCATAGACTGTATATATAAAGGTAAGAACCTATGGTAAGAACCGGTAAGAACGTTTTTATGAACCGCACAGCTTCCGGTCTACCAAGACCCGACGAACAAAACGTGGTGTATCATAAGCACGCAAAACTCGGCATCAGATCTCAATGGGAACGGTTAGCGTATCATATGCACGCAAAATCGGACTTTTGCCTATCTATTGCACGCATTTCCAATGTGTAAAGTCGTGTCATTTGAACGCAGACTGAAGAGACTGGGTTGGGACAGTGTGAACTGTATTACTGGTGTTGTTTCCTGGTTGCTGCGTGGGGTCTGCGATGTGTGTGTGTGTGCGTAGATCCGCGACTGAGAAAATATAAGGCTGAGTGTGTGTGTGTGAGGAGCCGTTACGTCAATATGACCAGGAAGAGAAAAATGGAAAAAGAAAAATCTCCAACGAGGCGTTCTGGGGCAGCATAGACAGGTCTTTTCTGTGTTAGAGTTGTACTCGCTACAGGGTGTACTTTGAGGGTTTGTGACTTTGCAGACCATCTACATGCATAAAAAGCTACATAATACACAAGGGGACGGGTAATAACCGGAAAAGCATGTCATGGGACCTTTAAGCTTTCTCTCTTTACAGAATACTCATGGAGTGGACACTAGAAAAACTTCAGTAGCCTATAGAAGGAATGCATACCAAAGGAGTTACTGCAATCCTGGATCATTTTTGGTTTATGACCTGGCACCAGCAACTTTATACAAAATCACGAAACATCTGTATCATCTGCCAATCCCAAAGGCTCCTAAAGATTATTTGGTTGGTGTCGCTGCTGTTGAACGATAAAGGAATAACGAGTGTGTGTGACAGCAGTTTCTCACAAAACTATAAACTGAGTAGAAATGGAGATGGTGTTATGGCATCAATAAAGCACGCTGTTGCAGCACTAAAGCATATATCACTGCCGGGATAAAGTCAATCAATTCTCGAAATATCACATAAATAAAGATGTAGCCATAAACAGAATGACTGACATTAAATGTTGCTTGATAGAAGACAAAGAAGGGATCTGATGAAGACAGCAAATGTTGCTCACCACCCAAGATGCATTCATAATTGATTGTTTTTTTTCTGTTGCTTTGCTATAAAAGGGGGAAAAGTGAGCGAATGTATTTGTAATCTTTTGATTTTTACATGTTCAGTTAATACCCCACGCTTTGCTCTGTTCGCGCATGTGTGTGTGTGTGTGTGTGTGTGTGTGTGTGTGTGTGTGTCCCCTTCTCCCCTCGCCAAGTTTACACATAGTCATTGATCCAACAGCCTCAGTCATCAAACTCAACATCAAACTGTAGCATTGCTCAGAGACAACAGAGGCCCAGATTTAAACAAAGGAGTTAGCGCACACACAGAACCACACAGGCTAGCACATAGAAAGTCAGTAAACGGGGTATTACTAGTACAGATCCCATCGTTTTACCTTCGATTTGATGTCGAATTTTATTACAGTAACGACTCGAGTAAGAGTCATAAAATATGAGTGACTGAATTTATGTACTGCTTCAGCAGCCGAATTCATAGTTATGTTTTGTCTGGAGAAGCCTTCATCAGTCTCTGACTAAAACTGTGCACTTAGAAATGTGAACAAGGACAATAATCTAATGTTGAATGTATTGAAATGTTTACCTGTACAAAAACATTAAATGAAGGATTACTCACTTCTTTCTCCCAAGCCATAGAATGTCTTCCTTCCTTTTCCATTACTCTCGCCTTCTCCATCCCAGATGCCTTCTTCTTTATTTTGCATCCTGAGTGAGTTTTCTGCCAAATTTAAATGTAGCAAGAGTTCAGACAAACAGAAGTTTTAGAGAACTCTTACATGTTTGTTGTGACAAGCGGATAAATTACAAAGAACGTTTTGGAGCCTCTAAACCAGACTTTATAAAACAAATAGAAGAAATGTACTATGATTGAATGATGCGTGGCTGGTCGAGACATTCATTTTGTAGTGGATGCTGTGTGTAGAGAACACTCCTAAGCGCTCTTTGCAGTCAGTCAGGGTACAGCAGATGTGTAATGTGTGAGCTGGGTGCATCCGTTACCATACATTTAGAAAATAAGCTGTTATTTGTTGAAGGTTGCCAGATTCTACATAGGGGACAAAGGATACTTAACTGCTGAGAGTGGTAAAATATGTCTTAGATTTCAAATTTGTACTCCACCAATCCCACTGCACAGGGACTAATAAGACAAAATCCAAACGCATACTTATAATGTGACATATATTTAGTGAAATGAAGTGCGTGTCCATTTACTCTTTGTCTGGAAGTATACCAAAATCACTGCAGAAGACAGTGAAGCGACAGCATTCAAAATGGATGCTCCATTTTGAATGCCGCCACCGTTGCCCGTCTCTGCCACGGGGAGTACGTGCCTCAGACTGGCAGCGTGGCACATTTATGGGCATTCCCCATAAGGTGCCTTCCTGATTGATGGCGCAGCCTCGTGCACCTCCCTCTCTTCACTCCTCAGTCCTGATTTATTCGTCTAGTCTCTGTGACTTGGCACTGGCATTGCCCACTACTTCTCCTGTGGAAACTCCCTGTGGGCACATTCACTATTATTTGGTGTCCCAATGGGCAAAAGCATCAGACAGAAACATACAGGCGCACACACACAGTGCACGTCTCATCTCACTCACACTGGGCCTGTGCTAGAGGGCAGGTGAGCCTCCCACTGCCTCCACTCTGAAAGGATCTCTCACCCAGAGGGCTCAGCATGCTTGGTGGGCCAGAGGGGTAAGCGGCTCTGTAAGCCTGCCAAGTGAGGAGCTGGTCCGGGTATGCATGAGGACAATCCTAACACACACACACACACACACAGAGAGAGAGAGAGACAGACACACACCCAGTCTGCGTGAACCTAGCAGGCTTCTCTCTTTGCCAATCTGCAGTTTATGATCCTTGTCCGCCTGTCAGGATCTTCATAAAGAGATCAACCCAAATGGTAAAGAAATCAACACATAAATAAGATGGATGCATAGGCAGCACTTCACCTCACTGTCTGACTGGCTCAATCTTTTATACTTCACTTCATCGCGGGTATAGGAAACAATTAAATTAAAAGAACCTACTTAACCGAAAACCTAACCGTAATAAATATAGTGTTTAAAATATGCCTCCAGCCCCGTGTACCAATACCAAATTCATTTGGTAATAAGACATAGAACATATTGCATATAATACAAATATGCACATTTTCATAAACATGTCTTAAATATTGAAAAAGCGTTTCCAAGAATTAAACGGGATGGACAAATGCCTAATAAAACTACAACATGTCTAGTCTTTACCATGTTTAAGATTGCATATTAATTTGGGTCAATTATTATTTTTAAGACTTTATGTCCTTCATTTCAGTTGATGTTTGTTGTGTTTTTGGTCGAGTCATTTTAATTGTGTTCTTGTACAGTGTTCCTACAATTTCGAGCACTTTTTCTCCCATTAGTTTATTTAAATTGAAAATGCATATACACTTTACAATTGTTGCACTTTATTCAAGATTCAACCACTTTTGACTTTTGTGTGCTCAGGCTGAGTTCCGCGGTGTCTCGCAGACCCCACGCAGCAACCAGGAAACAACACCAGTAATACAGCTCACACTGTCTGATCCTCGAGCCTCAAAGGGGCGGAGCAGCGAGCCCCGCAACGTCCCGCCAACAACACATTAATGCAGCAGGATAATAGTAAAACACTGAAAGGGAACATTTTATTGCACCAGGAGCTATCTTGGGACTTGTACTGCGACAACGTTGACTTGCCTGTGAATACAAAATAAACCAGTGTTGGTGATCTACAGTATTGTCATTGTTCTTTGAACAGCAAGACCGCTAACACCCTATTTCAACAATCACACTCCCTGTAATTGACATCATTAATAGATAGTTTAGCTTCTCACCATCATTTGCTGTGGCCCACTGATGTTAACGATCGTAACTGAAAGGCTGCCTGCCAAAAGTAAACATTCAGCCACGTGACTTGCAAACTCTCGCGAGAGTTTTACACAAGACAGATCCTTTCTAGCCATAACCCAGACCCCACGCAGCATTCTCATCTGTTTGTCATTACTGGTGTCACACAATTTACAATTGTTTTTCAATGATTTCCAACACCCATGGGAACCTTGCTTTTATGATCCGACAGAACTTCCTGTAGAATGAAAATGTGTAAACATGAGTTTCCAGGTCCTACGAGTAAGCATTTATATCCTAGGTGATAGTGAGGTTTTCAACTATAACCAGGCTTTGCCGAGGCCGAACTGTGAGCACTTCCTGTAGTTTGATCTGAAGTATGAGGGAATGCCTACCATCTAGTGGCCACTTCACAGAAACATTCAGAGATACCAAGAGAGAGAATTCAACTGGTCGCATAACTTCCTTTAATAAACTGAACCAAGAAAACACATATTACAAAATATTTTTTTCTTTTTTACATACACAAATCATTTTCTCCTTCAAAACCAAAAAAATGCAAACAGAAACCATGGACCATTTTCAAAGCATGTATCATTTTCTTTATGTAGAAAATAACTGCAGCAAAAGAAAAAGCTTTTGTTGCACAAGTTTGCGGTGAGGCAACGACAAGGCTTTCACAGCCCACCAGGAAAAGCCAGAGAAGTCAGTGTTTGCGTACGTGTGTCTAGCTTTTATAAGTGTATCATGTAGCGATACGTTGAGATGTAGTGGTTTGATCCATCTTTCAGACAGATAAAGTGAGCACTGCTATGACACAGGTTTGGGAAAATCTTCATATGGACCAAAAACATATCGCAATTCAGTTTAATTGATGAGAAACTGAATACAATATGGAACAGCCTTTGAGTAAAACTAAAATTCCTGTTCCCAGTCGCTGTTGCCATCAAAAACGGAAACTTAACCCACACTTTCTTGCCAAGCCGCGATCATTCAGGGGTCGCTGGGGTCACAAACGACGCACAAGGCTGAAACGGGAGCTAACCAGCACGTGAGGATCAATGAGACACAACTTCACAAACCTCCATTGTTCTTATCAGTGTGCTCAAAGCCTCAAATATAAAGATACACAGGACTTTAGCTTCCACCACACTGGGACAGACACCGCCCCATTACAGAGTGGAGCAAAAATGACTTCATCTTCATAAAGCTCTTGGAACTTTTTTTTTTAGAAGTGGGCACTGCAGTGGACATGACAATCATTTGTTTTGAAAAAAAAAAATCAAAGCTTCTTTTTAATTTGAGTGTCAGCTGCATTGCACTCAATTTGAAAAGCTAAACTTAATTCAAGTCGGGACCTTCAGTCAAGGGTGAGAGCAAAGGGACTGCAGGTGGTGACGTTCCCAAATTAATTTACGGTCAGGTCCAAACACTCCCTCCGATTCAAAACGACAGAGGGAAGTTATGTTCTTGACCTGAGACCCCTTACAACATCTTTGATTCAACTTTAACTACCTGCTCATGGTCCAGTGAATACTAATCTGTAGGTGTCCCTCTGTCTTCTTCCTCTGCGTGTCCTTCAGGATTGCTGGAGCTGCCCTAAGATACTAGGGTTTGTCTCTCAGGGGGGGGGGGGGGGGTGGCAGGTCCAGCGGGCAGCTCCATGGGAGAAGCGGAGGTCCTGGTCCTTGGGGAACTGTGCTGCTGTGTTTGGTCCTGCTGTGGCCTCAGCTGCAGCCGAAGGTTTAGGTGAGGAGTCAGCCATCCAGGGTGGAGGGGGCGGTCCCCGGGCCTCTGCAGCAGGAGAGGGGTCCTTGCTGTGCGGGGGGGGCCCAGCATCCGAGTCCTGCTGGGAGATGAGCTGGAGCAAAGCAGCTGCCACAGCAGGGCTGATGTCCTGGCTGGGCTGGGTTTCAGACCCGGCCTGCTGGGCATTTCCAGGGAGGAGAGCCGATGGAGGAGGACCGGGTGGAGAGGGGGGACGCTGCTCCCCAGGTGGAGGCACCTGGTTGGCATCCAGCGGTTTCCTTTTTGATACTGCACCATCTGAAGGGGACAAACAGGAAGGAAGACAAAACATTAGGGAGAACACAGTTGACATGTAATGTTTCACTTAATTTTAGGCCATCTACACAAAGACCCTTATGCCTAGTTGTCCTTTTATGTCTTATTTACAGTCACTACGTTTTAGTTCAGAATCAAATGGGCCTAATAATGTGACATCCCTACCTTCACCACAAGAGGGAGAGCAAAGCACTTGAAGTGCATCTTCACATTAAGTACATCACCATTATAAGGGCAAACATAAGATATCTGTAGGTATCAGTTTGCATTAGTTCAAGTTAAGACTGCCAACACTGACATTGATTATATGGTAGATTAAATGCTAAAATTATTTAGCCCTGAAAACAAAGATGTCAGGCCTATGAAAACTCTCCAACAACACCCCTATTTAGATATCAATGTTGAAAAGGGGGGAAAAAAATTGGTTTACCGTGATTTCCTATCAGTTATTATTTAACACAGTTAAGCATTGAAGTTGTTCACTATAATGGTCCCAAAATAATAGCATTAATGTATGCAAAACAGATGCCGCTGAATTAGTTTTTCCTTAAAAAAGAAAAAAAAAGATGCAGGAAACATTAGGAAGGGCATGTAAAGCTGGAAAAATAGAAAGGGTGACTTGTAGGAATATTTTAAGTATTTTAAAGGTCAGGACAAGATCACTGTAACAGGTTAGTCTTGAAATGTTTTTCAATCCAAAGCCGTGCAAGGCAAACCGAGGGTAAGGGTTTCAGCAGCATGAAAAGAGAAATAACGTGAAGAAAACAGGACCGTTACCATTCCAGTGTCAGCAGCATAGTCAATAGTTTTATTTCACTTGCTAAAAACATTTGAATTAATATCGGAGTTGAAGTGAACATAAAAAAAAAAAAAAAATGTGTGACAAAGAAAAAGGTAAAAGAAACACATGCAGGTGAGGCCTAAAGATTCAAAACATTTATTTCCACTTGATAATTTATTAGACTTTCTTCATAAAAAGGCTGACATTACAGACGGTTTAAAGCAACATCGCTTTCTGTGAAGAATCCACGAGACCTCCTTTGTAATGAAAATGAAAATGCGAACAGGATGGGACAGATACAGAAAAACAAAAACTGAGAATGAAACAAGAAAGTAGGAGAACAGTGGAGTGGAAGGGAACAATACAGTGTGAACCTTTTCTTCCTTCTTCTGGTTTATTGAGTACACCAGTGAGAGACGTCCATGTGCACCAAACCTTTGCCTGGTTATCAGGGTCACGTGACAACGAACACTCGACAGACATTTTGCGAAGTACTGCATTTTTCAATGTGTGAGGTGGTTAAAAGGGGACGATGGTGAGCATGAGTTTAAGGAATGTCAGGGTGAAAAAAGGGGTGGGAGATGAATGATAAGTCTAATGGCCCAATTCCTATGGCTAATTGACCATGTTGTTGATTTTTTCAGGTAGTCTAATGCGTCATTAGAGTATATAGGAATTCTTTGTCAGTCAGCTCCTATTATTTTGTCCTCTACTCTGCTCTCTTCGTTCTTGTCCCCAGTGACTTTCACCTGACCTTAGTTCGCCTTTTTTTTTACCACCATCTAGAGACTAAACCCAGACTTGCCCTTGCGTTCAGTAGTAGAGGCGGACGAGCCGCGCATTAGTGCCTCCTCTGATTGGACACCATTGCTCTCATTGCCTTGCTCCTCCCTTTGGGGCTTAATGATGTGGCCCAAAAGGAGAGCGAGCAGGTTGGCCTGGTCCTCCTGGCTGAGCGGGGGGTCTCCGGATGTCGGCGAGGGTTCCTGGGGTTCAGGCGGCGGCTCCGGGGGCTGGGACCTGGCAGCAGTGGGGGCCTGGTCCTCTGGAGCCCCCTGCTGGTCAGAGGCCTCACTGAGGGCTGACAGCGACTGGCTGAGAGTCTCTGGGGTTGAGAGGTTGAGGAGCTGGGCCACCTGGGGCAGGCTGAGGTCCGTCTGCCCCTGGAGGAGGTTCATCAGCACGGCCAGCTCTGTCGGGTTCAACTGGTCTGCTGCTACTCCCAGGCCTGGACGAAGTCACACAACCACAATTCAAATCTATGAAAATGCAATACAGTGCAAACACAGAGGTCTAATTCTAAAAACTTTTCCTTGGAAAGCAGTTCATCAGTAAGAAAGCATACTGCAGTAAGGAGAGCAGTGATAGAATAATCAGAGGGAAAATGCATTAAAGGCCTGCTCTGTAGTTCACAGTTTGCGGTTGTGTACGCAAAGCGGAATAATGAAACGCATAACACAGAGTACATATCTTATAACCATGTTTTTGTTTGTGGTAACATTTTATTTAGATTTATCCGTTACCTGACAACTCACTCTCTAAGGTGACTGGGGGGGGCGGTTTTCCTGGGGGAGGCGGTGGGGGTACAGCCGGGCTGCTTTGGGGCCGGCTGTTCTCCCCGCTCGAGGTCCCTGTCGTTTCCTTGCGGGGCACTTTGGGCACATCCTCGGGCACCCCGCTCTGACGTGCACGTCGTCTCTTCTTACTCCACAGCTCGTGGCAGTCCTGATGGTGAGGAAGACTGAAGGCATGCACAAAAACAAAATGATTATAGTACAACCATTAATAAAGAAATCCTAAGAAGAAAATAAGACAGTCCTAGATAAGACCTAAGCAAACAAAGTATTCACAGTGTGTATTTCAATGCTCTTTCATTATCTCTCACAACAACAAAACATATGATACTATATAAACAAAAGGGGAAAGCGGCGGCCATGGGGCTACTGACTCTGGCGGTGGCATCTTGTTGGGCTCAACATTACTCAGGAAGACACTGACAAGAGCTTGCTCTGCTGAGCAGCGCCGCGCGGGGTCAAGGGTCAGCATTCGGTCCAGCAGGTCCAGGGCAGCAGAAGGTAAACTGTGCAGAGGGTAGAGATTTTAAAACTGCAGAAACAAAACTACGTTTTTGTGGGTACGCTCAGCAGCATTACGTACAAGGCAAACTCCTCCCGCAGGCGCCGTCTGTACTGCTTCTTGGGTTTCATGGTGTTGAAGAGGGGAAGTTTAATGACGTCCGGCCAGACTGCAGGACAGGGACTACCACACAGACGGCTGAGGGACATGACAGAAAGGCAAATATGGGTGATAAAGAAACAGACAATTCAGTGTGGGAAGTTTGCAGTGGAGGTTTCTACTTTAAAAAGGGCTGTGGTCAGAAAGGTCAGCCTACCTGATATGCTCCAGCTGTAGAAGCTCCTGGTTAGCCTGGAAGATGGGCTTCTTGGTAAAGAGCTCTCCCAGAATACACCTGAGACATGACAGAATGTGTAGTGTTAGTATAAAAATGTACAGTTTTATATACGAAAAGTTTCAGAGGATAAATAATACACACTTTAAGCAGGTGAAAAATGTATCAGAAAAACTCTATCAATAACAAAAAGGTAGCACCTGCACACTTTCACACTAACATTACTTTTTATACTTTGTTGACTCATCCAAGTAGAATAAAAACTAATGGTGTCAAAATTGTGAAAACATTGACTGAAAAATATGGGAGGGGATTATGACCAGTTTGAATACAAATATTTATGACATCCCTTATAACATTTTTGAAAACTTAAATGGCATGGAGCAAGTTTGCAGGCATTATCTTTTTATTATCTGAAATTGTGAATGACTCCCAACAGTGACCAATACATCATACTACTTCTGAATATGATACATTTCAATTAGAACACATCCTTTAAGATAACATTTCCTATCTGATTTTGCCAAGTGTAATCATAAATAATACAAGTGTCGACATCGTGTAGTACATTATAACTAGTGCAAATGTTCACAGCAATGTTATTTTTCCACAGATAAGAAACCAATGTGCATGAAATAGTCTTCTGTTATAAATACACTAGATTTTGGCAGCCCACTTGAAAACTAAAACATCTCACTGAGCTTCATTTGCCTCTTGGTGCCCATGTTTAATAATAACTGACTCGGTGGCACAAAGATTACTCTGGAACAATTACAAGTGTTTTCTATTAAGAGGATACCAAGTAGAAATAACATTTGTAAACAATCTTCTTTAAAAGGTTGATGTAGCTTTGATGGCTTCTCATTTTTTCAGTGATGTTGGGATGAAAAGGCCATATTTTATATTTGTTGAAAAAAATCTTCATTAGTTTATGAAGATTACACAACATGAGAAAAGTTACAGAATGGAGTATGCATGTTAAAGATGAAACATGTAAATGTAGAACAGATATGTACTGCCATGACAGTCTACTCACCCACAGCTCCATACATCGATGGCTGGAGAGTACCTCTCCTCTCCCAGCAGGAGTTCAGGGGGGCGGTACCATAGTGTGATTACTTTATTAGTGTATGGCCGACTGGGGGCAGGAAGAGAGGACAGTGAGACTCTGTACAGATTCACACTGCAAAGCATGTGCACAACCGCACAACACACACATTCCAGGTTTCACTAATAGGGATATCTGACAATCTGACACACATTGCCATCTAGTGGAGATGCATTGAAAATGAAGAGGATAATCCATGTCTCCATGAGGTTTAATCATAACATACATTATTTTTTGTATTGTACATCACTGTTTGTGTTTTTGTACCAGAAATTGATGCCTATGAATTATGATCGGGAAGGAATCCAATATATTTACATCAAAAAGTTTAATATACACTCAATAAGAATACATTATATATACAAGTATTGGATAACAAGCAAAAGTGTTATTTTTCATAATCGTTTCATACTTCATATCATTTCATTAACATATTTAAATTAAGCATTTGATGTTGTTATGTTATGTTTACAGGGATATATATATATGTAGCTATGCACAAAAACTATTCCCTTACCTTTCCTCTGAACTGTAAAGTCGAGCCAAACCAAAGTCTGCAAGTTTGATCTGACCTCTATACAAAGAAACACATATAAACCAGGGTTAGGAACCACAATGCACAGGTTGTTTTCAATAACAAGTTTGCATTAGAACAAATTATTAACAGGCTATTACTGCAACTATATAAAGCTATTTTGATCTGATTCAGGTTGCTAAACACTGATTCAAGTGCCTCCCCGGAGCCTCGCTGCGGGGAAGCTGTGGACCTCTTTCACCAGTCAGCGCAGCCACGCAAAAAATGCAGCATGTGTACAGCTCCTTATAGGTACTGCAATTTGTGAAGTGCCGGCGAGGCGTTCCGGTGCGCTCCGGCAGCACTACACCCCTGATCGTTTCACCACGGAGGAAAGCAGCAAGTCGAGTTAAAGAGAGCGGGGCCTAGAAGTTATCCTTCCGCGCTGCGTTGCGCGCATTAGTTCCTTCTCCACAGGTAACGGGGAGACACGCTCCGGCGGCGGTCTCGGCCAGGATCCGGAAATACAATTTAAATATTTTTGCACACTTATTCCACTTATTATTAGTGTGCCACTGGTTACGGTACACGCACCTAGGGTTGTCGACCCCTGGCTTTGACAATAAGACCTGATAGAAAATGTTCACTTTTTTTCTTATGATTGCACAGACCAATAGTCTATTGAGAAAAATTATAATTTTCAGATAGTCATTCATCTAAATAAACCTCAGTTGTAGAACCTAGAGGGAGGCAATACTGCATTGTTGCTCTAAATCAGTGGTTACCAACCTTCTTAAGATCCCTGACCTTGGCCTTGGTGAAAGGCGAGATCTAACTATTGCAGAATTGAGTGAAAAAAACGTCCCAGACCATACTTCCAATTTGAGGCCTTTTATGTAGGCTAATTGCATCTGAATTACATCAAATCATTTGGTGCAACTTCCAATTTGATTAAACCAAGAACACAACATAACTAACATGTCAAAAAGGATAAATACATATATTTACATCATATATAATTTTAAGTTTCCTTCATTACAATCCTAAATATAAATGTACGTAGCTTATTTTCCATTTGTTTGAGTGAATGAGTAAATTATTTTATTGACAGCAACAACAACAAATACAAAAACAACATCTTGCAGTGAGCAGATAACATAAAGTGCCATTTTAACTGTGAGGCTTGTCCACTGAAGCTTCATGCAAGTGCAACATTTAACATTAAAAACTAGTTATTTTAACACAATTTTTAGAAATTCAAAATTCTAACAACATTCTTTATCCATTAGTGCGTTCACACCGGACGCGATGCGACTTTTGGAGGCGGCGCGATTACATGTAAATTCAATGCAAAGACGCGGACGGACCATGGATGTATAAAGAACAGACAGACACGGTTGATGCGAATGACACGTTCACGCGGTAGCCAATCAGCGGTGAGGATCTCAGCCACTGACTTTGAATCAGAAAACCAAAACATTAACAGTTAGCTGTTAGCACACAGAGCTCACAGCTCCTCATATCTGTTAAAAAAAACTGGACAAAAGTTGAACATGTACAAACCAAAGACTGTGTCATGGTGAATACAGTCGCTGCTTTATTCTGTCTGTATGACGTGGTTGTGAGTTTGGACGGAGCATATACAACGTTAGCTTAGCCTGATCGATCAGATCTCCATTCAGAAAACACGTATTTGAAAAGGTTTTTCGCCTGCCGTCTGTCTGCAGACTTGTCAAAGCATTAATTTATGCTTTTTACTAACCGGTATCAGTATGTAGTTATTCCAGCATCATTTTAAAACGTGTATTACAATTAAATCAAGGTAAAATGTTCATTTTGTTGTAGTTGGTATCTACCATAAGTGCAGTGAGTACCAAAATATGCAGCATCACTTTAAGTCAATCTATTATTTTCGGGAGCGACAGGGAATGTCTCAAAGATACGTCAATCAAGTGGCACCTGCTAACGGGGTGGTGGATGATAGGCTTACATCTAAAAACGTTGTAAAATAAGTATTATTTTCCTTTAAAAAAATGTTTTAACGGTGCGCGATTTACCCGCACCACACTCGCGATCGACCGGTTGGTGACCTCTGCTCTAAATGCTCTATTTCAGCTCATATTTATTAGCATCTTCTAGCTTTCACTTGCATCCTCTATGTTTGTAGAAAGGACACAGAATTGTAAAAGGCAAGTGTCTGTTAGAAGTTGCTTTCCTTACTGTTATTTGAAACAGCTGTTACTGCTAAACAATTGATTGTAAAAGCCAAGCTGCATGTCTACCTAAACAACAATATTTCACTTTTGGTGTCCATGTCTCCTGTTCTTACCTGTTGTTGAGCAGTATGTTGGAGCACTTGATGTCTCTGTGCAGGAAGTTGTTCTTGTGGCAGTAGTCCAGCCCCTCCATCAGCTGGCGCATGAAGCTGCGGACGTGCTCATGGGAGAACTGGACCAGGCCCGACTCCAGCAGGCCCATCAGGTCATGGTCCATGTACTCAAACACCAGGTAAAAAGCACCTGAACCCAAGGAAGATAGATTCAGAACTGGGAAACATCATCATTCATATTTTTACTTTTTAAGCTTCTCTTGAGGTTTTGGAATAAAGCTTTTAACAGACTCATAATAATTAATGACATCATTACCCCAACACAAACAACATCTTTAGAACAATTTGAACACAAAGTATTTTTGTTAAATCAACTTTCTGTGATGAATATAACTCGTCTGTTCCCTTATGGCTCTTTTCCACTGCAGCATGTAGCACGTTTTCTTTTGCTTTTCCACTAGGGGTAGTTCTGGCTCAGGGCTACTTTTCCACCTTTTTTCTGTCCCTCCAAAATCGAAGTTCTTACCGGGCCAACAACCGGGCTGAATATGCTAAACTAGTGACGTAAACACTCTCGACTGCTGATTGGTCAGAGAGAATCGCTGGCAAGGGGGCTACAACTACAACAAAATGAACATATTTTACCGTGATTTAATTGTACTACACGTTTTGAAATGATGCCAAAGTAACAACATACTGATACGGGTCTACAGACAGACGGCAGGCGAAAAACCTTTTAAAATGCGTGTTTTTCTGAATGGAGATCGGATTGATCAGGCTAAGCTAACGTTGTATATGCTCCATCCACACTCACAACAACGGCCTACAGACATACAAACCAGCAACTGTATTCACCATGACACAGACAGTCTGTGGTTTGTACTCGTTTAACTTTTGTCTAGTTTCTGAACAGATATGAGGAGCTGTGAGCTCTGAGGTCTAACAGCTAACGGCTGATGTTTTGGTTTTGTGGTTCGCATTGAAGAAGACGTCACGGCAGTTTTATGCAGCGTCGCTCCGCCCGCCGAACAGCCAATCGCCCCGCCTACACTGCGTTACTATAGTTACTACCCCAGTAACTAAACTGTAATGGAAACGCAGCATAGAGTGAGCCTGGCCTACCAAAGCCTAACCATACCGTACTAAGCCGTGCTAGGTCCTGCAGTGGAAATTGCAAAAACTTGGATTTGTCAAATGTATTGAACTGGTGATCACCGTTTGAACAGTTGACAGCTATAGGCCTACAGCTTTCATGCTTAACCCATAAGAGTCCCTGGGGCCATTTTTCGACCATTCGGGTTTTCATGTTCATGCCATTTTGGCTGTGTTGAATGAATATTGCTCAAACTTGCCAGAGGATATTCTTTTGTAGTTGTATATTGAATTGTGGTCTCAGTTTTTTTAATTAGCCTAAAATGGCTAAGCTGCACAAAAACCGACACATTTGCTCCTAGCGGCAACAAATGCCCCATTGAAAATGCTTTTTTTGACCCCACATTTATCTTATCATTAACTCTTGATTTCCTTTATGTTAAGATTTCATTTTGGACTTCTAGCTTTCAATTTTTACATTTTTCTACAAGATGGCGATAATTTTAACCCTTTGAAGCCTGCAGCAAAATGTCACACTTTTTACTGTTTTCAGCAAGGGTCACTTGCTACTGAAATGATATATGTGTGTCACTTTTGATGTTGGATAATGGTATGTGTGTGCGTGTGCGTATGCACGTGTGTGTGTGTGTGTGTGTGTGTGTGTGTGTGTGTGTGTGTGTGTGTGTGTGTGTGTGTGTGTGTGCACTGTTTACTTTTATTATTTACCGAAATTCCCGTTATTCTTTATATTTCAACCCCTGACTCGAACCCGAGTCAAAAAAATCGTAACCCGAGTTATTGAGTTAATGACGGGGATGACCGATATTGTATTATAGAAGTCCAATTGGAATTCTCAGGGAATTTTTTTTTGCGTAAACAAAGGATTCCCCGGTATTTTACGCAGTGGAAGTGTTTTTGACGATTATTTATTACTACGTTATAAATAAAATTTCTCAGTTAGAAAATTTTGATGAGTCCCCGGACTGTATGTGTATACTTAATACTTAATATAAAAAATCCTTAAATTGGGAATTTACGGTCAAACCCAACCCCTTTTTGCGGTGTCCCAAAAATAAACTTTTTTTAATTTTTTGAACCTTATTAAAAAGTTTTTATGTAAAGTTCATTATAAACTAAATAACAACTAATAATCCGAGGGATCCTAACCAGTTACCTAACCCCGGTCGTGTAACAAAACTACGTGACCGAATAAAAAAACGTCACCCGAAATCTAAATTTCTTTTTGAGTGTGAGCGGACGCAAAGGAATTCCCGGGGGTTTTTAACGGTGGAAAAAGGGGCGTTTTTTGACGATATTTTTACCTACTATAAAGTATAAAAAGAGGGGGTAATTTTCCTCAGTTAGAAAATTTGATGAGGTCCGGACTGTATTGTGTATTACTTTATACTTAATATAAAAAATCCTTAAAATTGGAAATTTACGGGTCAACCCAACCCTTTATTTGAGGTGTAAAAATTAAATTTTTTCCAATTTCTTAATCCTTTTATTGAAAGTTTTTTTATGTAAAGTCCTTTATAAACCTAATAACCATAATAATCCCAGGGATCCTAACAGTTACTAACCCGTCGGTTTGTATTAAACTTACGTATCAATATAAAATACGTCACATCCTAATTTGTTTTGAGTGTGAACAAGGAATCCCCGGTCTTTTACCGGTGGCGAGTGTTTTTGACGGTAATTTTTATACTTAATTAAAGTACGAAAAAAGGGACTTCCTGGTAAAAACAAAATGTTTCCCTGCTACCTGTTATCTGTAACAAACGTTTTAATACGTTTTTCGTATGGTAGGTCGGACAAGTGATTTTACTGTGTACAGTCGCGACTACTCGGCCTTCGTAGTAAACTCTAGCCCAGGTGTGTCGTAAAGAGGGTGGAACAGTACTTCGAGGACATGCAAAGACGCGACGTCCTACCGGGAGCTAAACTTACAGGTGTCCTGCCATCCGCAACATTAACCCCTTTATCAGTTGGTCCGCAACGCACTTGCTCCCGTTTCACGCGGTCGCTAAAACAAGGGGAGGAGACGTCCTATCCCACCGGTTGTTGGATTGTTCTTGTATTTTGTTCTGTTAAAACTTATTTACTAAGGTTCGGTAAAAGAGAGTACTACGTTTATAATTAATAAAATATCCTTTACGAGAGTAAACCTTTTTTTTGGATGTATTATAAAGCCTGTTTCTTATATTCTCATTCTCTTATGTACACACGGGCATTGACTCGGATAACCGTGGAGGAAATAGTAGTTCACAACGAGCTGTGGAGGAAACGTAGCCAAACGTCAGGAAACTAACTACTTGACCGCGAAAGAAAAGTAAAGCAGCGAATCAAGACCTGACACGCCACACAAGCACCGAATCTTTCGTCGGTGTAAGGACCGGGGCAGCTCCCTACATCTCTGGTCACACACCCAGAAGCCCCCATTTTCCGTTTCACACCTCCTCTCCTAGCGAGAGCCCGAGAACGGGAACCTCGTTTTTATCCCCCTTCGGAGTTCGGAACAAAGCCGCTTAACGGACGGTTGGTCACGGTCAAAAGAGGACTTCGTCGGAGAGTCGGTTACGCTTCCTGCACCTGTTTAACAGTGTCCATTACCTACACGAGGGACTCGGGGAGACAGTAGAGGTCTGGTGGGAGTAGGGGACAAAACTGAAGTCGTGCTGAAAACGGTCGACGAAACCGGACATATGTTGTGGACGTCAGAGGCGCATCCTACTAAAAATTGTAAGTGTCAAAACGGGTTTACAAAATATGGCATAAACCGGTCCGAAAAACGTACATGACGAACTTCGGACGTGGACGGAGACTTATCTTTAGCCTGCTCGACGAAGAAGGTCGTCTACAGCGACTTACCCGACTTGTCGTAGTCCGTCCGCCACGCAGGAGTATAGGGTCTAAACGTCTTCCCCGTCGGTCGGAGACAGTAGTGGCCGCGGCGTTAGCCCTATCGAGCAGCAGCTTGGCGTCACACAGTCGGACTAAACACTTTGGAGAACACCTGTAAGCACCGAGCCTTTTTCGAGGCAGGGCTAAAGAGTGAGGTACTCCGACTCCCAGCTAAGTAAAAAACTGTACATTTCTGCCGGTTTTAGTCGTCCGGGGTGCATTCGGTCGTCAAAGGAGACACAGGTATAAGAGCGGAGACGTTACTGGCAGAGGTACGTCCAAGACAGTACCTTGTATTATAACGACGTCCTACAGTTAGACAGTCGTCGTTACGTTTCGACTACGGCAGTGACCTAAGTCCATGCTGTCGTATTCACCACACCCAAGGCCTAGTTTGAATCGAAGTCCCTGCATCGCCTCGTTTATGAATGTCACAAACACCCTCTGGTTTTGTGAGAAGGTGTTGGAGGCGAGGTCAAAAGTCAAACTCAGACTCAACCTGAGATCGACCAGACAAGGTTGGAGACTCCCGCAAAGGAGGCACCTGAGACTCCGATAAGACAAGTCGGAGTCTCAGTTGCATTCCTCCTACTCGTCGGTAGGTAGCGTTAGTCTCACGTACTATTACAGGTCTCGAAGGGCACGCACGACATTACGGAACGGGTAGAGGGTTATTCTGATGAGGACGTGACTATCATATGAATATTGGTACCGACGTCACGTGGACATATTGTTGGACTCGTCTTGGTTTTGTTTCAGTGTAAAAAACAAACCAAGAGCGTTTGAGTAACAAAAATAGTAACTTAATCTAATAATGCGTCACGCCAGAGATTCTCTT